AGAAAACTCCACAACAGTTCAAAAAGCTTGTAAAATCATCTCTCACAGTTGCCTTTTGATAGCCAATGAACTTCTGTATGAAGCAGCAAACGATCAAAATCTTCATCATTCTCAACACAGAGCTCTCGGAACAGTCGATCATTGAGAGCATGTACTTTAATTTTGTTCACTGCAGTAATGACAGTGTGTAATGACTTGTGCAAGCGATCACTGAGGTTTTTTGCAACCAGATGTTGGCGATGAATGACACAGTGAATGGTAAAGACATTTGGCACTGCTTTTTTCAAGTAAGCAACACAACCACGGTAGCGACCAGTCATTGATGGTGCTCCATCAGTTGCACAAGCAAGTATGTTGGTAAGTGGAATTTCCTTGTCTTTGAAAAACTGCTCAACAACATGAAATATTGACGCCCCTTTAGGATCTGTTTTTAGTTGCCTCGCAAATAACAACTCTTGAATCAAACTTTCATCTTTAATAAAGCGCACATAAGCAAGAAGCAAAGATTCAATGCCTGGCAAAGTTGATTCATCCAGCTGTAATGCAAAGTCTGTTGTCCGTAATATGCTGCACAATACATCTTCCACATTCTCAGCCGTTTCATCTATGCGTCTTTGCACTGAATTGTTGCTGAGAGAAACTGTCGTAATTATATCATGTGGTGACTTACACAAAACAGTACTCAGAATCTCACTAATGGCTGGTAGGATGAGTTCTTCACCAATAGTATGTGGCTTTCCAGACTTAGCAATCAGCAATGAAATGTTGCATGATGCATGCAAACCATCAGTGTTTTGCTGGGAAGCATTGTAAAACATGTGTGACAGTGTTGGGCGCTTTTGAAATTCATCACAAAGTGATTGAAAAAAAGTTAGGTTCTTGACTGCCTTGTCAGGATGTGCCTTCTTCAAATGTTCGTTCAGTCTGGAAGGCTTCATTGCCTCATTAGAAAATACTTTTTCACATGTAGGCACTGTGGCAGTTGCTGGTTTGATGGTGCTGGTATAAATCCATACTTCAGATATTCTACAGTATATTGTCTACATTTCTTCTCTGATTTTTCTGCTTCTGCCATTTCTGCTCTGAAAATCAGAATACTTACAATATGTGTGTGTTCACATCTGATTTGAAAAGAGTTACAGTTGCAGTGGTGGGGGGAGTAGTAGAAACCTGCTTTTTTAATTAAAAAAAATAGGGAAAGTTTGCTGAGCCAGGCAAAACAGAGCAGCATCCATGAGACTGCCAGCGTACAGTACGCACAGGCGCAGGTGATGGGGCGAGTCGGGCAAGAAGCGGAAATGCTCAGCTGACTGGCGGCTGACCGAGCCCCAGGCAGAATTGCGCCCTGAGAGGTGCCCACCTCCAGCATTCCTCTGCCACCCCCTTGCCTCTTAGCGCCCCCTGCCACCACCCCCATGCGTCTTAGCGCCCCCCAGGGGGCAGTACCACTCAATTTGGGAACCACTGCTTTAGGAGGAGAGAGGGAAGGAGGAAGGGATAGAAAGAAAGAGAAAGAGAGAGAAAGAGAGAAAGAGGCAAGGGAGAGAGAAGAAAGAAAAGAAAGAGAAAACGGAAAGAAAGAAAAAGGGAGAGAGAAAGGAAGAGAAAGGAAAAAAGGAATAGACAAAGAAAGAGAGAGGGATGCCAGAAAGGGACAGAAAGAAAGAAAAAGAAAGAAAGAGAGGGAGGGAGGGAGGAGAAAGTGAATGAGATATAGAGGGATGGATGGATGGATAGATAGATGGATGGATGGAGGAAGGGAGGGAGGCACATGACCATTAGACCCAGGAGATGTCATGGATTGAGTAAAATGTGGTGAGGTACGCCCAGCACCAACAAGCATCAAGAGTGAGGGAGGAGAGGGAGGAGAGGAAGGAAGGACACAAACCCTGGCTTCAGAAGACTCTTTGAAATAGCACAGCAATCTAGGGCTGGAAGGGATCTCGGAGGTAATTTTCTGGTCCGGGTGGTCGACACCTGAGGCTCTTTGGGCCCTCGCTGTGGCTCCCTGTCCCATCACCGGCTGGCCCTGCCCCTTGCCCTCCCTCGCCTGGCCTTAGAAGGTAATGGTGACAGCGGGGGATGGAGAAGCGACTGGGGCTGGTTCTTCAGCGCATCATTCTCGCTGCTTGTTGGTGCTGGGCGTACCTCACCACATTTTACTCAATCTACGACATCTCCTGGGTCTAATGGTCATGTGCAGGGTAGGGAAGTAAATCTAAAGGCATGTGTACAGAAGTTCTAATGTACAGGAGTTATAGTTAAATGTGTGGCAGAAAGTGGACTCTGGGTGGGTTTTTCCAAATGTAGTAAGTGGGGTTAAATGTGTGGTTTTAGAAGAGCTGTGTGTGTGTTTGTGTATGTCTACATACACATACAGTATATATAGTAGATAACGTATCTTTTTTGTGTGCCTATACAAACTATACTATGCAATATGTATGTATACATATGGCATATATATGCACAGGATTAAATAGTGCATTTTGGATGTTCAATAGTAGTAAATAAATAGACAGGGAAATTGTATCTCTTTGAAGTGAGGAGAGGCAGGCAAGGCACCCCTTGACGTGAGTGACGTCAAGTTGGTCACGCCCACCCAATCACATGACCACTCAGCACGCCCACCCAGCATGCCCACCCAGCATGACCATCAAGCCATGCCCACCCAGTCACATGACCCACCAAGCCACGCCCACAGAACCGGTTGTTAAAAATCCCACCCCGAGTCAGATATATATGGTTCCTAACACTTTAGCATCCAGGAGGTTTCATTTCAATTGAGATACTGTTGTGGCCTTTCCGTCGCTGGCCCCTCCAGCAACCGAATCAGATGAGGAGGCGTGAGTGTCAGGGTCAGCATCAAGGCAACCTGAGAGCTCCAAGGGAGAAGAGGGAATGGAACTGGCAGAGAGAGAGAGAGAGACAGATGTGGAGCCTGGGCTGTCCATCAGCCCTCAGATGGAGAGTCAATAGCCCACAGGTCTCGAGTTGGCTGATGAGGAAGAGGAGGAACAGCTGGGTCCAGTGCCTGATGCGTGGATGCTTAGAAGGCAGAGGAGAGGAGAGCAGTGGAAATCTATGGGCTAGGCCTTGGGACGGAAGAGTCACCGCTGCTGTGAAGCCCCACCCTAGCTCTGGAGATAAAAGGTGGGGGGCGGAGATGAATAAATGTAGCAGACAACTATTCATCTCCCTGCTGGACAGACTTGCTGTGAGAAAGAAACTTTTTTCTGGGATTGCTGGCGCTCCTAATAAACAAATCATTGATTTAAGTTCAGAGAGTTTGTCATGTTTGGGGAGCTGGGTCAGAACACATACATTTTATAGTTCTCCACATTAATCCATACCCAAAAGATTCCTAGTTGTGGAACATATATGCCATTAGCAACAAAGACAAGGACATTTAGTATGTAATCATAAACTGAAAATGCTGCACAACATGAAGGACTATTGAAATAATGCAATTTCGAGGCAGCAAGCCATAACCAAATTATGACATTATAGTTATGAAGTCATAATAAAATGAGGTTCTGATTTGAGTTAGGCAGTAGCAGTTATGTGGGAAAATACTACCCTGTTTCCCCGAAAATACGACCTATCCCGAAAACAAGCGATAGCCAGATGTGCATAATATAAGCGCTATCCCAACAATAAGCCCTAGTTAAGACCTACCCATGTCTGGCTGTATGACGTGGGACAAGACACAGGTGTAAAAATCAAGCTAGGGCAGTGGTGTGGGGGGGGTACCCACATGCCCCACATCCACTTACCTCATTGTGCCGGTGAAGCCACTTGTGGCAGAACTGCCATGAGGCTCATTGAGCCAGTAATCACTCGCAGCAGAACATCCTGAGGCTCGTTGTGCCGGTGGAGCCACTCACGGCACAACACCGCAAGGCTCATTGCACCAGTGGAGCTGTTTGCAGCTGGATGCTGCGTGGTGTGTTGTGACAACACACGCATGAGCAGTGGCACCAGTGAGATGAGACTTGTAGGGTTCTGCCATGAGCACTGGCACAAGAAGCCTCGCAGCATTCTGCCACAAGCGGCTCCACCCAGCAGGATGAGCCTTGTAGCTTTGTGCCCCAAGTGGCTCCATTGGCGCCACAAGCCTTGTGGCATTGTGTCGCAAGCAGCTCCGCCAGAGCGACAAACCTAGGCATGTTGTACCATGAACAGCTCTACTGGTGAGACGAGACTCATGCGCAAGTGGAGCTGCTCGTGGCAGAACTTTTCGCCCAGATGGAGAAATGATGGAGACTCCAAGCTTCATGTGCTTGCGAATGTGCTTTACAAGCAGACAAAGCTTTGTCTCCCTCTGGGCAAAAAAGTTTTTGGGCAGCTACCACTGGCCACCGGCCTGTCCGTCCCATTGTCCGCTTGCCCGTGGCCTCAATCGGGGACAAGCTCTCGGCGTGCCCTGGCTTCCACCCACCTTGCCAGGAGGGCAAAGAGTCCCCACAAGGCGCTGTGGCTGAGAAGAATCCTTGCAGAAGCAGGCAGGGTGGGCGGAAGCCAGGACATGCCGAGAGATTGGCCTGTTCCAGCTGCAGACAAGCAGATTGTGGGACAGAAAGGGCGGGGCCAGGGGAGGTGAGAAATAGACCAGACATATCAGTGCTGCATTATTCCAATGCCTGTTCCTTTATTCTGGAAGGGTAATTTTTGTTTCTTTAAATACATACCTAAATGTCTATGGAGATTCTCAGTCAACACATGTCATGATTGTCCCAAATATGCTTTTTTTTAAAGAAACAACTGGGCTTCTTTTGTTTTTCCTTGAAGTTGTTTCAGAACTTTATTTATAAAAAGCTAGTATATTATTGTTTATTATTCTTAAGAGGAACTTTCCAAACATGTTATTTGCTTCTACTAATTATTTTGACCATTATATCAAAGCTGTGCTGGTTGATATGTTATATCACTGACCCTGTGTCAAGAGGACACACAAATTATAAAATAAATAAATAAATAATCCTGGGGAGAGAAAGACTTACTCTCAGCACGTCTCTTGTCTTGAATCTGTTGAGGAGTTGCTGATAATGTCCGTCAGTCATTTGTCGCAATAATGATAAAAGACATGAAACAAACTCCCCCTAAAAGAAATTTAAAAAAACTTTACAGTCTGAAGGGATGAAAAAAGAACTTTTTTCCCTATTGTTTGCTATATATTTTTTAATAGATAAGTAGAAGAAATCCCCTTTTGAACGATTCTGCTTAATTCTGGTGAGGAAAGAAACACTAGTTCATAAGTTAGAAGGAATCATTTTATTAACATATGTCAGATACTTCCAAGGCCATGAAGAGAATGTCCAAATAACTTTTGACACAGAAAAAAAGACACTATAGTGACTTGCAAAGTGTGTCATATGTTTCAGCTTATGCCTACACAAGACCCAAACTATGTATGTATCAAATGTAAACTATTTGAATTACTAAAAGAAAAAGTAAAGGGTCTAGAGGCAACTCTAGCCACTCTGAAACTCAATGAACAAAGTGAGAAAATCCAACCTAAACAAGAAGATTACACCAAAATAAAACACAATAGGGAGCAAACAGCTTCTAAAAAATGACCCCATATATGAACATAAAGAAGTAAACCGATACATCCAAACTGAACACAGTAGGGAACAAACAGCTTCAGTAAAAAAGAGTCTACATATGTACCTAAAGAACAAGACCAATGGAAACATGTCACTTTTAGAAGAAAACAACAACCAAGAGTTGCCTCTACTATCCTAACCCACTCCAATGAAGCCCCTCTGGAACTGAACAATCACTTTTGTAGCCTCCCACTGGAATGAAATATACAGACACTTATAAAAGAGCACTCATCAATAGTTTCTAAAAAAGAGGCACAATCCAGCATTCCTGTGACAGGAAGAAAAATATTCCAGACTTCCCTAGGGAAAAAATGGTGAATATTGGTGATAGGAAATTCAGTTCTTAGGGTAACAGAAAGTATAGTCTGCTGACCAGGCAGTCAATCTATGGAGATATATCGTCTCCCTGGAGCAAAAATTAAGGATGTAACTGAATACCTTACTAAAATAATCAACCCCACAGATGACTACCCCTTTCTTCTCCTACTCATGGGGACCAATGACACAACAATGAATCTGAAAACAATAACAAGATTATGAACAACTAGGGAAGACAGTTAAAGAATTAGAAGTACACGTAGTGTTTTCATCTCTACTTCCAACAAAAGGCTAACATCCAATGAGGGAGGAAATTTTAGAATTTTAGAAACAAATCACTGGCTTAAAACTGGTGTCATCAACAAAACTTCAGCTTCCTAGACCATGGTCTGCATTACTGTTGACTAGGAATCTAATGTTTCTATTGAAAGCCTTGAGGAGGAATATGTGCCAATGTCACTATTGCCTATGCAGACCTTCAAGGTCACAGAAAGTTCCTCAGGAAACACCCAAAGCCTCTGAGATGACACCCAATATCCTTGGACAACCTCCAAGGGTGCTGGACGGCTATTTCTGCACTTCTTTATGTTATCTAGAGCGTGCCAGCTTGTCTGGGTGGAGTGTGCCAGTGCTTCTGGGTAGAGAAGTGGACAATGTAGCAAACATATAAATATGGGTGTCAATGTGACTGCAAGGTTCTCCCTTGCTAAGGGAGGCTCGTCCCTTGCTAAGGGAGGCTGATTCAGTTAATCAGCCGAATAAACACATAAAAAAGCTTATAGAGGTAAATACCTGGATTCTGTCTATTTTTATACCAAGCCACAGCTGAAACTGGCAGAACATTTTTGGCATGCCAGCCCAGGAGAGATACTTAGTTTGGAAAGGCCAGAAAGGGAAAAGCATCAAGGTGCTCTGGGATTTCCTGGAGGTGCTTCCCTTCTTGATTCTTCATAGGTCCTAAATTTTGGAGGACCAGGGCTTTTATTGGTTGCCTCTATTTAATTCCTTTTCTACTCTGGAGGGCTGACAACAAGGTAAGCAAGATCTTTTTTTTTTCTTTCCCTCTTAATGTGTGCTTTGAGTAATCTGTGTGATGCAAGAGTATTTGTCTCCCCTAAATTATATCCCACCGTTGACCAGAGCTGGGTGGAACAGTTGGCCTCACTTGCACCTAACCCTCCATGTCTGGAGGTGCTTAGAAAATAAAAGGGGCCAACCTTGTACTCTTGTCTCTAACTGGTTGTGAATGCTTGTGTTGTGTGCCTTTTATATACTTCCTGCTGTTGACCAGGTCTAGGCCTGAAACTGATCTCAGTTGCCTGTGGCCCCCTGCTAGGCTGTTGTGCTGTTGACTTAGGGTGTTCACAATGCAAGGGAGGTCAGTGGATCTCTTGTGGCCCAACAGGATATGTAAGGGGTGTGATTGACTTAGACCCATGGGCTCATCCCAGGGAAAATTTATAATCAGGATGAGTAAGAATAAGGGATGTGCCATCAGCCCTCTTGAATGTGTTATAAGGAAATTTGGTAAGCTGAAGACAAGCTATTCCATTGGTTGATTGGTCTCATCCTTAGGTAATTTCTCCTTAGTCCTAGGTTGCTTCTCTCTTTGGTAAGTTTCCATTCATTGTTTCTTGTTGTGCCGTTTGGTGCTCGGGAAAATTAATTGACCCCCTCATTTTTATAGGAGCCCCTCAAATATTGGAACAATGCTATTTTATTGTGCTATTTTATTGTGAGTTGTGAGCGCTATTTTATTGGGGAGAAGTTTGGCAAAATTGATTAAACAGAAAAAAGGGCATGGTTGAATTTGCTTTTTAAATCTTGTCAGCACTTCTCTTTATCTAGAGAAGTGAAAGATCGTTCAAAAGATCACCAGTATTGTAGAGCTGGGGCAATTTTTGCACTGTCAGTTTGAAATAAACTCAACCTTTCCAATGGAAAGAGCACATAAAAGCAGCAGGGATGACTTTCCTTTCTGTAGTTGACTAGGTTGTGCCAGTTTGATGAAAGGTGGATATCTCAGTTCTCGTCTCCCTGAGATCCTCTGCTTTTTACACTCTAGTGCCTCCACCTTTCTGTCTTAATGTAGCTGCTTAGTGATTTCTGCTGCCGTTGCCTGTCAGTCACATGGATGTGTTTACCTGATGTTTTCCCACATAACCCTGGCATGTGAGACATAACCCTGGCATGTGAGAATTTCACAGGCTATGACATCATTGAAGAATAAACCAAAAAGTAGAGAAAAATAAAGTGGATAAAAATGAAATAAATGGGAACTTCCGGTTTTGCATGGCTTCGGCGGCAGCAGGAATTCGCTTGTCCGCGATTCCTGCTGCGCTTGCTGCCAAGGTGCCCCCGATCCAAATGGGTCTGGGGGATATGGCTGCCCTGTAGAGACAGCCGACGAGAGAGGGGATCCGGACAGGGGTTTGGGGGTGTCGCAGACCCCCTCCCCAGCCGGAAAAACCCCTTTTTCCCAAGGTGGTGGAGCGGCGGTCAGTGATGGCCGTCACAAAGAAGCCTGCAGCTGGGTAAGATTTGTGCTGGAGGAAGCTGGAAAAGTGAAAGTGCTGGCTGAGCCGAGACAATAACAACTCTTAAATACCCTGGAAACTGAACTGTTTGAATTGCCTGAGGATACATTGTTTCCCAAAGAAGATCGGAAAGCTGCGGTGAAAGCTGTTAAGGGAAAAAAAATTTTTCCTTCACTCTCCCTCCCCATAGAAATAGCAGACGGAGATCTGGAAAATCTACTTGGGCACAGAAGGTAACTCAATTTGAAATTTAAAGCCAAGGGATAAAGGATTTCTGGACATTGGATTTAAAAAAACTTAAAATTCTTTTTATTTTTTACAAGGAGAAGGGAAGAGATAAAGACTTATTATAAGATTGTACTGAAGGAGATTGCTTTGAGTCTATAAGAACAGGATTAAAAGACATTAAGACTTCTAGAAGATCATCCTGGAAGTGTGCATTTGAATTCTACCCCAGGAGGTGAAAATATAGAAAGAAGAAAGTGCTAAATGAAACTGTTTGTTCTGATTTGGTTTGCTTTGTGACTTTGAGATTTGTGTGAAATTTTGTTTTAAAAAAAAAGGGACTAAAGACATTAGGGTTGCGTTAAAAAAGAAAAAAGAAAAAATGGCATTATCTTTTGAAGGACTACAAATGGAATTTCAAAAACTGAAAAAAGAGGATAAGGGCTCTTCTGGATCTATCTTTCGCTTTTTGGAAATGGTGATTTCTACCTATCAAGAAATGCGACGACAGGAAGGCTGGGATGAAGGAGAAGAAGCCATCTTTAATGGACAAACACACTTAGTGGAGGAAGAAAAGCAGAAGTGGGGCAAGGAAAAGATGAACTTAGAACTTAAAAAAGCAACCAAGAAAAAGAAAAATGAGATGAAAAAGCGATATGATGTCAGAAAGCAACAGAAAAGAGAAATACAACAGAGAGGGAAGACTAAGAGAGTGAAATTGGAGAGACGGGGGGGGGGGGGTCAAAAAGTTAGAATGGAGAAGAAAGAAAGGGGAAAAGGAAAGAGAAGTCATAAAGGCTTTAAACAAGAGATAAGGGGTGAGATAATTTTTTAAAAAAATGATTCTGCAAAAGTACATAAGAATGCATTGTAGACATTAGTATTTGAAGCTGAGTTAGAAAATTAGAATATTATATGATTTAAAAATGTATTAAAGGGAAGTCATGATTTAATTATAGAGTTTAATTTCTTATGAAATATTATCTTTATTGTTTAAGAATTAATAATAGAATTTAATTTCCTATGAAACATTGTTTTTACTATATTATAAATTTAATATTTCTTTTTTATTTGTTTTTAGTTTTATTATTATTTATCAAACTCAATATTATTTGTTTGTTTTACTATTTTGAAATGTAATACTTTGAACATACGGAGCAGAATCAGCACAGAAAATATGTATTATTTTAAGTGTTATTTAGTGGGAAGATAAAAAGTTGTCATACTTCCATCTGGGTTTACAGGAGAAATATTGTATTAGATAGAAAGGATAAGAAGGTGATTGAAAGAAAACGGACCAAAGATGCAAATATAATTATTTAATTGAGATGGAATAAATAAAATAGAATTAAAAGAATGAGTAGGAGAGAGAAAATATATGGAAAATAGAGAATGTTAAATAAGATATGAGAT